AAAAAAAATACAGACTAGTTGGCCAGTCTTATGGGAGACACAGGGAAGGAGCAAGGATGAGTTTTTTTCTTTTTGGCTAAATAAACTGCGGTAATGACTTTTCTATTTTACACATTTACTAAATTTACATTTAAAAGTTTTTAAAGAATAAAACTGTAAGTGAGAATCAGGAAGCAGAAATAACCATTATTCCTTAGCAAACACTGATACAGAGGAGATTGTAAGATACACACACCAGCTAGGAAAGCATAGGTGTCTCTTCTTAGCTTTGTCCTTGTTTATTTCCTGTGATTTAACAATGAGTTTCCTATGTCACGCTAAGGTGTTCAAAACTGTTCTGAATCTTTTGACATCATGTCTACTGAGAATATCAAACCATTCTACCTCTGCTTCTGCCTTAAATTTGTGCTTTCTGTTCAACCTACTGCACTTTTATTGCTAAACTTTTCACTACCAAGTGGTAGTCTTGAACAGGTATAGATCAGCTCCAGCCTTAGATAAGCAGAAGAAACTATAAGCTTCATTTCAGAAGGAAGCCTGCAGGAGGAACCTTAGGAGGTTCTGATTCTTTAATGGCTCACTTTTTTTTTTAAGAGAAAAGACAATATTTTATCTGCAATGCACATGTGAAGGACACAAATTACATACCTGAATTAAATTTTAAGCCTAAACACCACCAATGAATAACATACTTATATTTATCCTACTGCATATAACATGTGATGTGATAGGTAGCGTCATTGAAAACCTTGTTCTTTATTTCTGCATCTGTCAGTATACAGCATACCAAATACATGTCTTCTCAACTGGTATGATCAACTTACAAGCCATGAATAAGTAAGATCCTTTTCCTCTGCAGTCTGTTAGAACCAGATTACTCACTTAACTTCTTGGATTTGATACATAAACAAAAGGCCAGGGAGATTATGTTGTTCTCTTAAATTTAAAAAGTTAGCTAAGTGGCACAGGGGATCATTGAATTGTTGCCAGAGATACGTAAATGAATAAAAGACACACACTAAACTGTATGTCTATAAAGCACAAATACAAAATTCTTAGTTTGTATTATTATTATAAGTGGCACAAAGAACAGAGATGTATAGATAACATTATCTTTGGATTTTATCTATTATATTTTATCTATTATATGGCTAAGTCTGTCTGACTTGATGAATGATAAGTGATTAACACATATTAACAATGAAAAGCAATAGAATACAGAAAACAAAAACTTATTTTCAAATATATAATTAAGACTTTTGAAAATCCTTTTACCCCCAACAAGATGTAAAATTTTATAATAACTAAACATACTTAAACAAAAATTCAAAAGTCCATAAATCTATATAAATAAAGGATACAGTGGTACTATAATTATTGAGGGAAAAATAATTGGTGAGACCAGATCTGTTTCATGTTCCTGCCCTAAAGTTTTTGAACAGAGAAATTTTTACATTATGTTATCACAACATAAAATACAAATAAGCTAATGAGAAAAATTTAAGCTTATAACTGATACAGGGGAAATATAACTCTCTCGAGTATACTGCATTCTTGTTCTTTGAATATCCTATTTTTTTTTTTTTTTTTTTTGGTACCAGGGATTGAACTCACAACCTTGTGCTTGTGAGACAGGCACTTACTTATGCCACTGAGCTAAATCCCCAGCTGTTCTTTGAATATCAAACAATGAATTTCAAGGGACAACAGAGGTTAAGAGTAGGAATGATTTAGTGAGAGATATCACCTGAGAGACAGGAAGGGGTCCCAAAAGTGGGCTGTCATCAAGATCCTTTGTCATGGGTAAGTTATATACCAGTCACAATGTGAGTACAATGTGGATCAAACTACAATCAACCAACAGGATGATAAGTATAGTTGTTTAGCTAATATTGTTCAGGTAAGGAAAAGAGTCACATAGTATGTGAAAAAAACAGGTATTTTGGGGAAGGAGTGGGTACAGATGCTGTAGTCACCTTTTGGGGTGACTGATAACTAACTGTGAACTTACTGGACCAAGTGATGCTAATTATAGTATAATTCCAAGTTACTGTTTATTTTTCAGGGAGGCACATAAGCCCGGCCATTAAATCTCTATCTTGAGTCTTGGTCTTCAGATTTGCCTCCAGTCACAATTTTGATGTATTTACTTTTGTGCTGACTTCTTTGAGAGCCCAGTTCCTCTCTGACTGTATATTAATTTCTATCTAACTGAGCCACCTATACTACTAATAATAATTTAAAAACTAAGTGCTGTTATGAAAATTAGTTCCTGTATGAAATGTACAAAAACTAAAACTATAAACACAGATCTAGGAAAGAAGCAGAAAAGAGCACTGTCAAACTTGGACAGCCACAATGTAAAAAGAAGAGAGAAACAGAGAGAGAGAGAGAGAGAGAGAGAGAGAGACAGAGAGAGAGAGACAGAGAGAGAGAGACAGAGACAGAGAGAGACAGAGAGAGAGAGACAGAGAGACAGAGAGAGAGACAGAGAGACAGAGAGAGAGAGAGAGACTGGGAGATGGGAGGGGAGAACTGACATTATAGATTAAGAAATTAAGAACCTTAAAAAAGTTCATTACCACTGATCTATTCTCATTCCTGTAACTGTGTGCTTAGAGTCAAAGCATGAAGTCAATGATTTCTATAAAAGTATATGGGTTTTCATTTTACTTGTTATTTTTTAAACAAGAAATAATCTAAATAATTAACCACCAGCAAGTAGATTTTTCCTATATAATAAAACTTAGGTAGCTAGTTTTAAAATTGCCTTCATGGAATACATCATAGTAGATAAAAGTTATTATGGTGTCATATTAAATGTAATGGATCACATACAAACTATATATGTGTTATAATTACAAACTGTACACATATAAATACATGCAAATATTTAGGTAAATATTCTCATTTTCAAAAACTGGAAGAATATTAAACCAAAATCTTCTGAGAGTTAGGATTAAATAATTTCTAGCATTTTTTTTATACTTTATTGTGAGTGACTTTTATATTAAAGAATAAAGCATTGTTATGAAGGGTCAGCCCCATGATTCCAAAAATACAACATATGGTATTAGAATAACCCCTTACAAGTTTTCTTAACATCTTTATGCATAATTTCTTTATTCAAAGGAAGAAGACAGAGCCTGTTTCTCATCCCTACCTATAGGGCTTTCCTCTGTTTCCTTATATAAGAAGGAGCTTTATTCATTCAAGTGTCTGGGTATATACACACAAACTTTAACTGGATATAGTGCAATTTCTATTTATAAAATCAGCCAAATAAAAAATACAAAAATCTTTACTGCAATAATTTATTTTCCCAGTAATTATTACCTGTGTACCTGGGAGGCCACTCATTTCTTTCAAAAGATGCTGCTGGTTATTAATGTAACAGTGGCAGCTTGGCAGCGGGAATTACGGAGGGCAATATTCATAGATAAAGTGATCGTTCCTACATATTTTAATGCCACGTTTATCATGTAAATGGAAGGTTTTAAAACACAGGTTGCACTCTGACTTAAGGAAAAATGTTTTAAATTTTTCTTTTGAAAAATTGGAAAGTGGTTTTAATTACCTATTACTATCAGAGCATGTGAGCTCTCATTTTTAGCACCTTCTAGTTCCTTTCCTGAAATATCAGAGGCATCATTTTATATGCTCTTGCATTTTGAAAGCATTGGTCCCATGTAGCCATTCACCTTGACAAAGGGAAATTGAAATGCTGTATTAGGCAATATACGCTACTTTCTGGAATAGTAGTGACTAAACATGCAGTAAAGAGAAAAAGATGTCTCATTTTTTTCCTTCTTAAAAACTTATTTGTTTGACAGATGTTATTAAGGCTTTTAGGCTTCTTTCAGTCAACATTTTAATATAAAGTCAGTAAAGAACAGAAATATCATGTTAGGAGTATTGATATTCATTAATCAAGAAATCACAGAGTATAAGCTAACTTTTAAATGCCATTTAGTCAAGATTAAAAAGTGTATGTGTATATACCTGTTTCTGCTAAAAATATGAATAAAATTCTCTACCTTTATTTGGTAATTAATTTTGGCATTTTACTAAAAAAATTCTCCATGTCATCACAGTTAATTCCTGACTATTGCAATATGGAATTATTTGCCAACCTCAGAGAATATGTATTTAAGTTAATTCTTTTATTCTGTCCATCTTTATAGAATAAAAAATTCTACTATCAACTGTTTACTCTGAAAATTGAGGTTACTTAGATTCTTCAACTTTGATATTAGTAATTATAATTCAAGTCTAGTCATTTTTTCTAATATACCATTTCCACATTTTATTTCCGTACTTGTATTCACTGGAATTAGAAATAATTGAATCCAAAACTAGCTGTGATTTACTTTGGGTGTATCAATACATATGATATCTCTATTAATGGAGACAAATTGAAGTTTATGAAAAAAATTGAAGAGTTAAATATGCAGGCTGTATATCCCAGGAATAAATGGTGTTAATAAATTTTTATTTCATTCCTAATCTTAATATCATATTTTAAACATATTTTAGCAATTACTGATGTGATTAAGTTTCCATTTTGTGCTCTAAAACATAATTTTACATTTTTTATTTTTATTTTTAATTAATTAATTAATTAATTTGACTCAGGGTCCTGCTATGTAATTCAGTCTGGCCTTGAGCTCACTTTGTAGCCCAGACTGGTCTTATACCTGCAGTGATTCTCCTGCCTCAGCCTCCCACGTGCTGGGATCATAGGAGTACACCACCATACCTGGCTTGAGTTCACATTTTAAAATTAACTAATGTTAGAATAGTTTGAGGTATGTCGTCTCACTTATCTTGGGTCCCCCTTTGACTGCTGACTGGACTAAGCAACTATTTTTTCATTAGTTACGTCACATTCAAACATACCTAGAATGGCTAGATAGCATTGAAACAAGTCAGGAAGAAATCACAAGCAAGGGCCACAAAGTGGAGGGTGCTGGGAAGACAGGATGCTAAGGGAGCCTTACCTGATGTCTGTGCATGTTATGCAAGTGATGTTTCGGCTGTTGGTTGTTATTAGGTTCAAAGCCACAGATGTGTCCTGGTCTGAGGTTGGGTGTGCTCCACACTTAAAGAAAAATTCCTGAAAGAATGAGAAACATAATCAGATGCATGGATCCCAGCAGGCCACTTTTCCTTATGTAGATACATTGATTGTAAATTATCTGTGTACAAGAGAAAAAAAATCTGTCATTAGTTGTGAATTAGGAATAAATCATCCTCATATCTTTACTTAGAAAAAAAGCACTTGTCTGGTGCCAAGCTAGTTAACAATCCTCTCTTAAAAAGAAGGTGTTAACTGAGCTTGTTCAGTTCAATGAGTTGGGAGCATGGAAACACCCCTTGTGAGTAAGTGACTCTGGAAGAGAGGAAATAAACACAGGAGAGAGCCCAAAGCAACATCTCAGACATGAAGAAAGGATGACCCTGAGGCCTGAAATGATTTGCCCACAGTCATACAATAAGAAATGAAGCCAAGAAGTACCCCATGAGTCCGGAAGAGCAATCCAAGGCTTTCTATACATTTAGTTCTTTAGCAGTAACAATCTAGTACCCAGAAAGGATCTGGAGAGCATTGTGTAAGCATACACACAAGAACATATGGACTGTGAGAGTTTTTTTTTTTCTTTACAATACAGGAAAATAAGCAAGTGTGACTTTTTCTGGACAGAGATTATTTTTCTCGTCCAAGGTCATTAGCTTTTCCTTAAAAAGATGAATTCAGAACAAAAGGTAGTCAATATCTCCCTCAAGAGAGGAGCGGAAACACAAGAGGCTCATGGAGAACTGTTTACGTGCAACAAAAATGTCTTTTATAAGAAGCTAGTTAGTAGTCCAGTCATTTCCTTTTCTGTACAATCAGTTGACTAAGATTTTCCAAGCTTCTTCCAACTTCACTGTTCTATACTCAAATTAAACCCAACCAGGGCTGGCAATGTAGTTCACTAGTGTACTTGTCTAGCATATCTGCCAAAAATACCATGAAACAACAACAACAACAAAAAAAAACCTTAGAAGTTGAAAGACATTTTAGAGGCTTTATTTGATCTTGGGCATCTTAGAGAGCTTGCTGAGAGAAGGGTGCCATTTTACAGAAAGTTACAGGATCTTTTGGGACTGTGAATTCAACTTTACTTTGTTTTCTTCTCTTGATCATTTAGGTTAAGAAAATCAAGAAAGTCAAAGTCAGGAAAATCTTCAGTTAAAGTCTCAGGAGATGGGTTGGCAAGCTTACACCACTGTAAGATTCTGGCAGCGGGGACATGGCAAAGCCCTAGCCACTGGCCCGGGAAAGTCTCGAGCTGAGCTGAAGGGTTGCTAGGAGGCCTCAAGGCCTGACTGCCCAAAGTGGCATTATGGCTAGTTCCATCAGTGTCAGGGATTGGAAGGCAACAATGCTGCTGGGTCAGCTGGGAAGCATAGTAGGAGAATGTGTTAGTGCATTAGTAAGGCCCATGCAGAATCGCTGGCTATGGGGAAATAAAAGCGTCTCAAAGACCCAGCCCACCTCCTTAAAATAGCAGTGTACAGATAAATCAGCTAGAACAAAGAAAAAAATATACACCTGTTAATTTAACTAAAGTCTTCTGTATAAGTAGGACCTTTAGTTTCCAATGGTTGGTTTATTCCCATTGGATCCATCTAGTCACTTTTGGAGAGACTCCATTAGTCACAGAGATAACATTCTATGACAATAACTGGATTCACTTTCAAAAAATAGCCTAAATTATTCTTAAAAACATGAAAAAACAAGATCTTAAAATCTATTTGGCTTTCTATTGTAACACTGTTAAATCCAAGATCTAAAATCTAAAATTTATTCCTCGGATTATCAAATCCCATGCTCATGCATTTACCATTTCCTCATATGAGGCTCTGCTCCAGAGTTTTTATTTGCCATCAGTTGCCCAATCTTTAATTTCAGATGACAGAATCGTAGTCCTCTGGTCAAGGCATAGTCACACACATCAAAGCAGAGAAAGCTGGATGCACTGTCCCTCACTCTTTGGAGTGGTCATTCTCCTCCCTCCTCTTCATCACAACACATAAGTAGTGTCCCCCACTACAAAGAGGAGACGCGGAATAGAATGGAAACGAACACAAGAACCAACAAAGCCTAAAAGTTAGCTGAGTACCAAGAACCCAACTGTGTAAAAACTTACAGAATCAGAGGCTAATCAATAATACCAAATAACTCAATTCCTGATCTCTGAGGTAAAAAAAAATAATAATAATAATACCAAATATCAAATTTCAAATTACTGTAAAATAGCCAACCATAGCTAGAAGCCCTGCTTGTCCCAGTACAGGATAGTCTGGTCAACTCCTCAAAAATATGGGTCTGAAACTTCTAGAAGGTTTTATTGAGCATTATGAAGTAAAATAATTTCATATATAATGTTTAATGATTGTTTTCATGTAGTGTTGTATTTGACTTTACAAACAGTTAAATGTCACTTCAGATTCCAAATCATTTATATTTAATATCCATAAAGTAAAAACACCTTTTTCTAAATAACAGAACCACTCAATTTTCACTAAAAAGTTTGCAATGGATTATTATCTGTGCTTAACATGTAACTGTGTAGCCTTCATTCATTCATTCATTCATTCATTTTCATTTGCAGTGCTGAGGATGAAATCCAAGGCCTTTTGCATGGCAGGCAAATGCTCTATCTCTGAGAAACATTTTTAATGCTAATATTAAAGTTTTAAGGATGTCTAAGTTAAAAAAACATGCCAAATAAAACATAACAGCAACACTCTGCGTAGTCTGCAGGGGAAGCCTTTAAGATCATCAGGCTACAGTTTGACTTGTTCATCTTGCAGTCGCAGCTCTCACTCCCAAGCAGTCTACAAACACTGTAAGTCATCATATCAGTTTTGATATAGCCATGCAGTTTGTTAGATTGTAGACCACTTGGAGACACTGCTAATTTAGCAATGTCAGTTTTAAAATTAGGTTACAACTAGTTTAACAAATCAAATCAAAAAATTAATGAGTTTGTTATCATGTCCTCTACTGTTTGCTTTTTCTTAATAAGGTGTGAACAAACCCTCTAGTTGATGTGCTGAATTTACTTGAAGAAAGAAAATCAATCTATTTCTACAAAAAAGCAAAACCATGTCAGACCTTTCCGAGAAAGGCTGTCAGGTACTGCCTGTCTGCAGTGCATGCACTGCCAAGGCCACCAAAGGACTATCTAACACCTCTTTCATCACCTTCCTCTGTGGTGAAGAGTAAATATGTACAGGAAATGTTTGCACACAGGCATACGTGCACACACCTACACAACTGAAGACATGGGCTCCAAGTAAAGCCATTCTAAACCTAGACGGAGAAAATGTCTTAGACATATATAGCCTTCTGAGGACTCTATCCCTCCTTACTATCTCAGGCCTAAGAGCATGGGCATCTTCACATCAATATAGTTAATGTTAAATTTCCAATGAATTTTTAAAGTTTATCCTTATTACCAAAGTTAAAAGTATAAGCCAGATCCAGTTTCTCAGACAATGTTTAGTGAGTAATGAAAATAAAATTCTGTATTTCAAAAAGCTCTGAAAAAATAGTTTCTTTGTGGTATTAGAGATGGAACCCAAGGCCTGCACATGGAGTTACATCCCCAGCAGTTTGGGGCAGGATCTTGCTAGGTTGCTAAACTATCCAGGCAGGGCTTGAACTTGCCATACTACTGTCTTAGCCGCCTAGAGTCCTGGGACCACTGGTTTGCACCACTATACTGGGCTCCACTATATTCCACTCAAAAATTGGCACTAAATTTAATTTATGACAAATCTTAAGTGAATTGGCATGACATTATTTTAAGCTGGTATTTAACCCATTCATTGTGAATTTTCATATTGTAGTTGCAAATTAATAATTCTTTTAAAGTGATAGAATATAGACATGTCTGGATATTTCAGGGTTAAAACATGTAAATTACATAATCTTCCTAAAATTTAAAAACTTATATATTCAAAATACTTCTCAACCTCCAGAGTAATATGTACGATTCTGAAATATAAATTGTCTAAAATTATCACTATCCCATTAGGATGATCCTGAGAATGCTAAATGCAGTTATTTATATTAATAATAAATGCTACTTGTAATTCAGTTCAAAAAAAGGACAAAGGCAAAGAATTGGGCATGAGAAGCTCCGGAGAATTAGGGGCATGAAGAGGAACAGTGGTGGGCACCTGTGGTTCCTCATGCACACTACTAAGAATCCTCTCCCAGCATCTTCCTGCCATGGCTTTCAGAGATTGGATTTGTATTCTTTAATGTGACTCTTCACTGTCAATCTTTTTTCCACTAATAAAAAAAGGACAGTAAGGAACATGTCTCATTACTATTTCATTGTCACCTACTTTGACAGATATCTTTTCAGAACAGATTTTTGGTTGTGTAATTCACTAGTGCCTAGAGCCACTTCTGGGGCTATTTTTCAGGTAATATTTCATCCTGAAAAACAAGGGTTTTGACTTTTCTTTATATTTTAAGAGAAAATTCCTGCTCTAGCAGTTGTCCCTTGCATAATTCCCCACTGGAGAATTTTCAGAGCAAATGCTTTGACTACAGTTGTTAGTATTTGTTTATTCTTACATAATTATCTTGCTCTTAGGAGTCCTAAAAAAGTCCTTTACTCCAAATTTTTGGAACTGAGACACACTGTCAAAACTGTGTATTCTCCACCAAGCAGGAGCTTCCTGGGAGGAAGCTAGAGATCCTCAATGGCGGGTAACAACTTTGCCTGATGTCTAACACATTTATATTGTTACAGTTTAGATACTGAATATCCACCAAAGACTCATGTGTTAAAGACATGGTCCACCCGGGCAGCACTACTGGGACGTGGTAGAACCTTCAGGAGGTAGAGCTAGGTGCGAGGTCTTTAGGTTATTGGTGGCATATTCTTGAAGGGGATTGAGGGAGCCCATTCCTTTCTTCTTCCTCTTATGCTTTCTGGTACTGTTGTGTGCAGGTTTTCCATGTGCAACCCACCACTGACTTCTGGCATTTGTAAAAGCCATGAGTTACTCCATCATGCAATGGAATATTCACAATCATAAGCCAAA